CTTCACCCACATACTTATACCCACGTAATGCCATCTCACTCAACGAAATTAAATTAGCACCACATGTTGGCACATGCCTCACATGATGAAGAATTCTGACCTTCTCAGTGTGAAGCTTGAGGCAAACACTTCCAACACCTTCAACCTTCATCTTCTCGTTGTTTCCAACAATCACGTCATCAAATTCTTCATCTGTCTTCAATGTGTTAAAATAATTTTTGTTGTTACAAACGTGCATAGAGGCTGCAGAATCTAACACCAATGTGTTAAAATAATTTTTGTTGTTACAAACGTGCATAGAGGCTGCAGAATCTAACACCCAAGTGTTACTCGCATCAGTACCTAGAGGCTGCAGAATCTAACACCCAAGTGTTACTCGCATCAGTACCTGTACTCTGCATCAATAAAACCATATCTTCATCACACACAACCACTGAGGAGTTCGTCTTCTTCCTATTTTCTTGAAGCTTCATCTGTCTAATACTCTTCAAATCATCACGCATCTAGGAACATCTGAACTGAATGTAACCCTTCCCTCCACAATAATAGTACTCCTTTTCGCTGTCGTCCCGGGCCCGAGATTTTGACCTTCCTCGATAACTGTCACATCTCCCCGTACTCCTCACTCGATTAGAACCTTCAAAAGCTAGTGCACTCTCAACACCATTAGATGTGCTCTCCTTTCCCATCATTCTTTCATTCTCACGTAGGAGTGTTGTCACATCGTTGAACTTCAAAGTCTGCTTTCCTGCAATTATAGTCTGAACTAACGACTTGTACGACTTTGGCAAGGAAGACAATAGGAGTAGTGCATGCCCTTCTTCTTTAATCTCCTCATCAATATTCATAAGTTGGCAAACTAGTTGATTAAAGGCATTGATGTGGTCTTGAATTGTAGTACCTTCTTTCATCTTCAACGAATAAAGCTCCATTCTCAAACACAATCGGTTGGTCATCGACTTTATCGCATAAATCCCCTCGAGCCTTTCCCACACCCCCCTTGGTATGGTCTCTTGCATAACATTGTACTTGATCTCGAGGGCGAGTGCCAAACGAATTGTGCTAACCGCCCTCTTTTGTATGGAACTCCATTCAACATCCTTCAATTCTTCAGGTTTCTTCTCCTCTAAAGCTTGATCAATACCTTACTGCACAAGAATATCTTGAACCGTATACTGTTATACTGTAAACATTTGTCTTGCCATTGAATAGCAAAATATCAAACTTCGGACCCGAATAAGTCATCATCCTCTAACCACGATAAAAATTCAAATCAGTCCTTATAGAGATTGAATTTGATAAAACTAACATAAAAAATGAACTCAGCACGTCGAAAAACCCTAGGAACGACTCCTGGATCACCGAAATCCGCCTCCAAATCCTCGATCAAAAGATAAATCAACCTTAACCGTCGGATCTGTTGCTGCTACAGTACCTCCACTACAGTACCGTGAAGCCATGAACAGTTTCACCGCTACAGCACCATGGTGAATAGTGCTATTGCTACAGTAATGTTACCGCCAATATTATTGTAAATCTTGAATCTCCACGAACCATCGAACCCCGTTCTGATACTACTTGAAGAGATTTTTTTTAAATCTCGCAAAACCCCCAAAAAAAGCCATCAAACGCAGCAAATAAAATCACACAAAATTTAACGTAGAAAACTCTCAACAGGAAAAAACCACGGGATCAAAATCAATCCACTATCACCTTCAAATTATAATCTTTTGCACGGACAAAGACTGACAAACCCTCTCTCTCTCTCTCTTCTTCTTCATCTTCTTCTAACAATAGAAGTATATAGGACAAATTTTTAAAAGCACCCTTTTTTCATTTTTATATAGAAAAATCGACCCCTTTGTTTTTTAATCTGCAAAACCGACCCTTTTCAGAAGAAAAAGGTCGGTTTTGCAGCAGAGTTTATTTTCGAACTACACGGGACTGCTAGTCCCGTGTAGTTCGGCCAATAATTGAAATGCACGGGACTGCTAGTCCTGTGCATTTGATTGTAGTCACCAACTTCCTCAGCCTCAGCACCCTAGATTCCAACAAACCCGTCATCAGAGCTTCAGTCGGGGCCATTGATGAGGCATAACTATGTACCAAAATTGCAAGTGCACAATTTATCAAGTTATAGTATAAAAAGATATCGATCCCACGAGGAAGGTGATTTTAAGAGATTATTAGAAATGATTCTTATGTTTTGTGCATGACAATTAGGAATAAAGAATAAGTGTGATTGTGATGAGTGGTTGTTTTGATTTATGTGCAAGAGATAATAAATTGAATTTTAGAGAAAAGAATGAAGAATTAAAGAATAAATGAAATCACAATGCAAGAAAGATGAATGAATAAAATAAAGAAATAAAACAAGAATGAAAAGAAAATTTAAGAAAGTTAAGATGGAGGATTCAAAAGAGGTAAGAAATCTAGAATATAATCCACTAACTAATTTCAATTACAAAATACAAACTATTCTCTTTTTATCATATTTCAACTTAGATTTATTAAGCATAGATTATCAAACCATTTAAGGAAAGTGTAACCTATCAAATTATCATCTAAGCTAAAATTACTATTCATGATAAGAACAACAACATGATAATAATCCTAGAATTCATAAGCATAACCTATCAAACCATTTAAGATAAGCATAGATTATCAAATTCTTCTTCTACCGATTAGTTCTCTAGTTGATTATCCTAAACATGAACATTTTAAGTACAAGAGAATAATTCATACAATATAAAAGAAATTAGACTAGTTTCATACAATTCTAAGATTCCTACAAGAATTAAATTCACATCTTAAGAAATAAAAACAAGAAAAAGAAGACTAATTACAAAATTAAAAAGAAAAGAAAAATCTAAACTATGAACAAGAAATAAATCTAATTACAAAGAAAATAAAAATCTAAACTACAAAATAAATTGCAGAAATTAAATGCAAGAAAAATAAATCTACTCTACAAATTAAAGTGCAAAAAGAAAATAAAAAAGACAAGAAAGTAAATCTATACTACAAGCATGAATTTAAATCTAACTAATAAGCAATAATAAAGAAATTACTAAAAAGAAATAAAAGAGAAAAGAAATGCAAACCTTCAAATTGCTCTTCATCTCCATCCTCATCATTCAACAAAGAGGAGAAAGAACAAATTTAAAGAGGAAAAAATTATTTTTATTAATTGCAACTAAAGTTACAATTTTTGGAAGGCCTTCTCAATTAAGAGTAGCCCTCCTCTCCAAAAGGAGTTTACAAAATTTTCACACCTCTAACCCCTCACTCTCTACCCCTATTTATAGTAATCTTCAATGAATATGAGCCATTGGATTTGTCTTGAGCCCCAAGCAACAATCTCCACCTTTGATTTATTTGATTTTCAAAAGAAAATCAAAATCCAATTCTTGAGCCCATTTAAAATCCGGTCCATCATTAAAATGTAACTTTCGCAGGAATCGCGGTTGTATTTAGCGCATACAACAAGCCTTTAAACCCCTAGCTTACCCTAGTGGACGAGTTGTAGTCTCGTGAGGGTTTACAGTGAATATACCCACAAAATTCGGTCAACTTGCCAAGTTAAATAAGTCAATAAATAACAGATTTTTCTTGATATATTTAAACATTCTAATTGAATCTAGTTAATAATCAAGAAAACGTTTTTATATATAACTCCAATGTAAATCCCCTAGAAA